TTTTCTGAGGTTATTTTTTTTCTTGCACGAATAGCCTTTTAATTCAATCACGAGTTCATTTTTCTCCCCATTGTTTTATCAACAACAACAAAATAAGGTACTAATACGGTGGCTTTAGAACCAGATAGACCGGATTGACTTTGGACTGTTTAACCTCTGAAAAGCTCAGTGTTTTTTTTTGTTTTGTTTTTGTTTTTGTTTTTTTGGGGGGGAGAGGTTTTAGATATTGGGCGCGTGCGCTTTCCAGAAAGAGAGAGAGCTAAAGCGCAAGATATCACCCCTCAGGGGGGATGGCCACGCCGCAATCCCTTTTCTTTCATTCTCCTCTCGGGATCTTGGGCATGCACGCACGCACACGCGCCCGGCGTGAGTTTTAAGCCACCGGGTCCGAGACGCGAACCGCGGGAGTCCAGCGACATAGCCATTACACTAACTGCTGGTCCCAGTTTTGTAATATGGAGATACGTGATATGTAATATGTAAGTGATACGTAGATATTTGTACCTACCTCATAGAGCTGTTCTGAAGGTTAAATTAGGCAGTTTGTGGCTCCTGGCATACACAACACTCGCGGACAGGACTTTAGACTTCCCTTGCTCCTCCTTAGGCATGTTTCCATTCATCCCTCAGTGCTTCCCTGTGGTCAGGCAAAGAGAAGTGCTCGTTTTTTTTTTTTTTTTTTTTTTTTGGTGGGGGAAGGGCCTAGTACCTCCAAACAGGCTCTTATTTTACCCTCGGGATAATGCTGTAAATTAGATAGAACAACCATTATCTCCATACAGTGAGGTATTTCAACTTGTTAAAGTTGAATCTTACGCAGCGCACATAGTGTTATTAAGCAAGTGACACATAAAACTAAACCTAGTGTTTATTTTTGAAAACGTGTTTGATTACTGATTTTTTTTTTTTTAAGATTACTGAGACTTTAGTCATGACTTTTTAGCCCAGTTTACACAGTAAATGAGCGGATTTTTATTCATTTATCAAATATCTCTGGATCACCTATTACTTGCCACACACTGTTCTAGGTACAGGAAATAGAGCAGTGAACAAAACCTAACAATCCCTCCTGCCCTTGTGATGGTTGTAGTCAGGTATGCTGTAAGATAATGTGGAATGTCAGTTTCATGAATGTGTTCAATAGAAAATGAAAGTTTTATATGTGTGTATATGTGTGTGTGTGTGTGTGTGTGTGTATGTATGTATAGTTATTTAATTTGGTATAGGACACACATGCTTGACAGAGAGAAAGAGAGAAAGAATAAAAAGGGAACGCACCCTCCTCCCCTCCCCTGCCAGGGGAATGACCATGCTGCAGTCCTTTCTCCATTTTCCTCTCAGGATTCTGGGCACACATGAACACATACCTGGTGTGTTTTTCAAGCTGCTGGGTCCAGGACTGAACCATACAGTCAGCCATGTAGAATCCAGTGCCTTAACCAAAATACTCCCTGGCTGGCCTATAGTCATATTTAATATAAAATGCCAGTTATAGAGGTTTGTCTTTTGATTTCTTGTATTTTCTGTGCTTTAATCTTGTACTTCCTTTAGTTACCACAATCCTCAGTTTAGAGTGTTAAGTAATTTGCTCCAGATGTTATAGCTAATATATGACAGAGCCAGAATTGGAAATCAATTCGACTTGACTCTGTAGTTATAGATATGAGTTGTTAATTTTGAGTATGACTATTTTATAGTATTATGGCCTTTTTAATCAAATGTTTCTTAGACTAAAGATAAACCAGGCATAAAGTCTGTTCTTCTGGACTGTGGTCTATTGGGTGTAGATGACTTATCCATTCACTCTGTCTGTTGAGCCCTATAAAATACTCATACATGAGACTATTTTTTTTCTTCTTCTTTGTAAAAATTTATTTACTTATTCAGTTAGTTAGTTGATTAGTTTTGCTATGGGGTGTGTGCACCCACCAGAGAGAGAGACCGAGGGGGGAAAATGAGAAATCACCTCCCAAAGAGCATGGCCACACCACAATCCCTTCTCCATTCTCCTCTCAGGATTTTGGGCTTGTATGCAGACATGCCCGGCATGATTTTCAAGGTGCTGGGTCCTGGGCACGAACCATGAAGTCAGCCATTTAGGATGCAACCGCTTTAACCTGCACAATACCTGCTGGCCCTTTTTTATTCTTTTTAGAAATGATATAGTAGTGAATTTTCTAGAACCCAGACAGATTTTAGATTAATCTTCCTTGAACTCTTTATTAAAACACTAGATGATACTGTGTCTAAGTTACCATTATCCTTGCTGACAGTACCCCCATGTAATAGAGGAACTCAGTCGTTTTAAGACTAAGTTTACATTGAGATCTTGTAAATCAAGAATATTAAACCATTTTCCAGAGATGCATTTAATACACAAATCTTTGTTGTTTCTTAAATAGGAAAATCTATGCTATAATAATCATAACTGGTTTTTTTAACTAGTGTATGTATAAATGTGAAAAATGGTGGCGAGCAATTGCTGTGTGGCCATCCTCCCCGGGGGGGATACTTTTCCACATCCTCTCTATCTTTTGTATCTCTCTGGCAAGTGCACACAACCTGTGGCAAATTGAAAATATAAGATTAGTGACTGAATGTACATTCAAGCTTATTTTTGAATTTCTTCCACCTTTCTGGATTGTTTTAAAAAGAATTACTTTATTTATTTATTCATTTATTTCATTTTAATTTGACCAGAGAGGGACAGGAGAGAGAGTGAAAAAGCAAGCCGCCAGATCCAGGACTTGAACCATGACGGGTCATGTGGGAGTCCAGCACCCTTAACCACCACACCACCTGCTAGCTCACCTTTCTTGATTTTTGAGCTAGATTACAAACTGTATATAAACAATAGTGTTGTTCCACGTACTATGGCTGTGTAACAGTTATCCTAAAACTTAAGAGGCATGAAACAGTTGTTGTCTCAGAGATGCTGTGAGTTAAGAATCCACACTGGGCACAGTGAGGATGTCCTGTTTCTGCTTCAGAATGATTGGACCCTCACCCGGATGACTCGATCAGCTAGGGAATGGCACAGCTGGAGCTCCTTTCTGTCTCTCTCTCTCTGTAACTGACCACTCCATGTGGTCTCTCAGCCTCATGATTGGGGTAAATAGAATTCACACATGTTGGTTCAAGACTCCTTAGGAGAGCCAATCAGAATCTATATTGCCTTTCATGATCTTCGAAAATACATAGTATCACTTCTCTTATGCTCCTGTTGTGACAGTAAGTCAGTGCAAAGGAATACAGACCCCTGCTCAGGTTCAAGGTGAAGGAACACAAACGCCATGCTCTCACTGGAAAAATATCAGTGTCACATAAGAACACCTGGGATAGGCATCATTAGAAAAATACAGTTTCCCACAAATATATATATATATATATATATATATCACTTTCAGGGACCAGCAGTTAGCGTAATGGCCATGTTGCTGGACCCCCACTCGGTAGACCACGGTTTGAGTCCTGGACCCAGTGGCTTAAACTCACACTGGGCATGAGTACGTGTGTGCTCAAGATCCCAAGAGGAGAATGGAGGAGAAGGGACTGCTGTGTGGCCATCCCCCCTGGGGGGGTGATTTCTTGCTTTCTGTCTCTCTTTCTAGTGAGCACACACACCCTATCACAAAAACCTCTAAGAAAAAAAAAACTTTTGATTTAAACACAAATTTTTTATATTGAAATTAACGTAGCTCATTAGTGCAAATTTGATTTTCTTTTATTTTACAGGGAAATGATCTCCATTGGTTAGCATGTGCCTTATATGTGGCTTGCAGAAAATCTGTCCCAACTGTGAGCAAAGGGACAGTTGAAGGAAACTACGTATCTTTAACAAGAATCCTGCGATGTTCAGAGCAGAGGTAACTATGTTAGAGTTAGAAAAGTAGAATGTGGCTAATGTAAAAGCTCATAAATCATAGTGATAGTAAGAATTCTTTCTGTTCAGTATATTCTAAGCATGTGTACCTGTGATGTGCTGAATTTAGAAGAGAGATCATGGTTTTCCTTTCACATCAAAGTTAGTATCCATTTTATTTTTTTGGCAAAACAGTTTAAATTTTAATGTATTAAGCACTTGTATGGAACAGTTTACTTTTAAAGGTTATGATTCATTCTGTACTATTGGAAGAAATCAGAATAGGGATATTGAGAACATTTATGAAATATTGTAGGTTAAAAAACATCAATGAAATATTAATTAGATGATACTATACTTAGAATTATATGTTCAGGACTTATATCCATTGGAATATGTAAGTAACTGTTTCCTGTCTGGGGAATAAGTGGTACTATTATAATCAACTATAGAAATGGTCAAGTAATATTTAAAAGAAGCAGCAGAAATTGCCTTACTTGTCATGTTAATTGGATTGGTTACATTTATTTGTGCCTTCTGGTTGAACTTTCTCTCTCTCTTTTTTTTTTTTTTTTTTTTTGTTAAATTTGCCAGAGGTCAGCATGCACTCACCAGGTGGGGGTGAGGAGGAGTACCCCCCCAATAGGGTGTGATCACAACCCAGTCCCTTCTCAATTTCTCTACACTGTCAGGATTTGGGGCATGGATGCATATGTCACCAGTATGTTTTCAAGTTGCTGGGTCTGGGCAGTATGTAGAAACAGTGGAGAAGGGATTTTGACATGACCATTTCCCATAGGAGGTGCTGTTTCCCTTTCCCTCTCTCAGTGTCTCTCTGTTGAGCACTTGTACCCTCTGGAAAAATTTTCAAAAAAAATCCAGCAAGTGATGTGGTGACTAAGGCACTAGATCCCACATGGCTGACTCTGCAGTTCGCATCCCAGATCCAGTGGCTTGAAAAACACACTGGGCATGTGTGTGTCAAAATCCTAAGAAGAAAATGGAAGAAAAGGATCATTGCTTGGCCATCCCCATTCAGGGGTGATTTCTTACTTTCCTTCTCACTCTGTCTCTCTTTGTCTCTCTCTCTGGCAAGTACATGTGCACTATAACAAATATCTAATAAAAATAAAATAAAATAAAAAATGAATGAGGATGACCTGTAGCCTAGTCATTAAATGAGCTGGATCCCACAGATCTGACTTGGGTTTGAATCCTGACTGGTAGCTTGAAGAACACACTGGGCATATGTGTGTGCATGCCCCAAATCCAGACAGAATGGAGAGATGGAGGAGAGTGAATTGCAACAGAACCACACACTACTGGGGGGTGCTTTCTTCTCTCTCTCTCTCTCCCTCTCTCATTTTGTCTCTGGTGAGGGCATATACTCTCTGGCAATTAAAAAAATGAGTGAAGTAAATCGTATCAATAGTAAAGAGTCTCAGAAACATTGAGTGAAAAAGCAAGTTGTAGAACTACTTATTGCAATACCTTTTATATAAATGTAAAAACACACATGTAAAAAAAAGTATATATTGTTTATGGATACATATGTATGTGTCGTAAGTAAGAAAACATAATGGGAGTCAGGCCAACTTCAGAATGGTGGTTATCATTGGGGAAGAAGCTAGAGGGCTTAGATTAGGGAGGAGTACAATGGGAATCTGGGCTGTTTCTGTAGTGTTTTTAGTTAAAAAACAAAAATTAAAGCAGTGTTAACCAGTGGCTAGATCCCACATGGCTGACTGTGTGGTTTGAGTCCTGGACCTTGCAGCTTGAAAACACACTAGGCTTGTAAATGTGTGTGCCCAAAATCCTAGGAAAAGAATGGAAGAGAAGAGATTGTGGCATGGCCATTCTTTCTAAGGTGTATTTTTTCACTTTTCCTTTCTCTTGCCAACTCTTGGTCTCTCTCTGGCAAGTGTGCATGCCCAGTAGCAAAAACTAAAAAAAAAAAAAAAAAAAAAAAAAGTAAAAAAATAACTCAAGCAGATATGGCAAAATGTATTCAATATGTTAATATTTGCTAAAGTTGCCAGTTGGTTTAATGAGTGAGGGCTTGAATATCACCATGTGTGCATGTGTTCCAAAAATTCCAAGAGGAGAAGGGATTTCTATGTGGCCATACTCCTTGGTGGGGGTGATTTCTCACATTCTCTTTCTCTCTGTCTGACTCTCGTTGGGGTGAGTGCAGGCGCCCTATGGCAAAAAAACAAAAACAAACCCCAAAACCTAAAAAAAATTTGTTTATGTTACCCTCGTTAATTTTGTTTTGTATTTAAACATATTTCATAATTGAAAAAAAAACCCTCCAGTAATCTTTAAGAACAAAGGAGATCAAGAGGATGAAAGAAATTAACCAATTTTTTTAGAAGAATTATTTTATTTATTATTTTATTTTTTTAATTCAGCCAGAGAGAAACAAAGTGAGAAAGCAAGCCTCCAGGTCTGGGACTCACACCATGGTCAGCTATGTGGGAATCCCATGCCTTAACCACCACACAACCTGCCAGCCCCGAGTTAATCAATTTGTAAGAGACTAAGCTAATCAAAAACATGAGTTGTGGTTTTATTGTCTACAAGTAATATAATTTAATGAGATAATTTTTATTTTCTTTTCATTGCTTACATTTGTGTACTTTATGTTAATTATGGAAATATTTTTTATCTTTAATGTCAGCTTAATTGAATTTTTTAACAAGATGAAGAAATGGGAAGATATGGCTAATCTACCCCCACATTTCAGAGAGCGTACTGAGAGATTAGAAAGAAACTTCACTGTTTCTGCTGTAATTTTTAAGAAATATGAACCAATTTTTCAGGACATTTTTAAATATCCTCAGGAGGAGCAACCTCGTCAACAAAGAGGAAGAAAACAACGGTATGTTTCCTTTTTTTCTTTTAGTTGATAAAGTAATAATTGTATATTTTTATGGGGTATAATGTGATGTGGATTTTTTGTTTGTTTTGTTTAAAAGTTTATTATTTTTCTTTTTCTATAAGCAAGAGAGACAGACAGCACCCTTGTCAGGATCTTGACAGCACGACCCATCCTGAGCCTCAGCTAGCCTGGATCATGGGAACATGCTTGGGCACACACATGCCCAGCATACCAGAGAAGTCTCTAGACTTGAATCAGGAGCCTCACTATGTGTGGGGTTGCCCCACAGAGGGTTGCATTTACCACTACACCACCCGCAACCTCTTTTCTTTAGGAGAGGGAGGGAGAGATTGTGCAGAGAGAAAGAAAGCATGGGAGGGAAAGAAAGAAATAGATATTCTTGACAGGGTCTCCCCATGTCACTCACTGTTCTGTCTCAGCCTCCTAGTCAGCTAAGAATATCGGCTGGGCTACTCTGCCTGGCCTTGGCCCAATGTATGTTTACTATGTGGAATATTTAAATTGAGCTAATTAACAAATCAGTCACCTCACATATTATTGTTTTGTGATGAAAACATTTAAAATCAACTCTTTTTGCACTTTGGAAATATGCGTTGTATCATTATTTATGATGGTCACTATTCTGTGCAATAGATTATTAAAGCTTTTTCCTCCTGTTTAACCAAAACTTTGTACGTTTTGGACAACATGTCCCCTTTTTCCAACCACCCTGTTTCTCTAGCCTTGGATAACCATTATTGTACTCCCAACTTTTATGAATTCAACTTTATTAGTTACCATATAGTAAGTGAATTTTTCTGATACTTGTTTTTCTATGTCTGGCTTATTTTCACTTAGCATAAAGTCTTCCAGATTCATCCATGTTTTTACAAATGACAGGATCTCACCTATTTTAAAGGGTGAATAGTATTCCATTTTGTATATATATATATATTACATTTTCTTACCATTTACTGATGATGGACACCTAGGTTGCTAGTATTGTGTATAATACTGCAGTCAACATGTGTACGCAGACATCTCTCAACAGTATGTTTTTATATTTGATAGTTGGGAATACACATTTGATTGTGCTATACGGTTTTGAATCCTCAGTTTATTTTGGTAGGCTTAAAAAACACAATTTAAAAATAATCTTTTGGGGACCAGCAATTAGTGTAGTGGCTATGTCGCTGAACTCCCATGTAGTCGACTGCGGTTTGAGTCCTGGACCTGGTGGCTTAAACTCATGCTGGGCGTGTGAATGTGTGCCCAAGATCCTGAGAGGAGAATGGAGGAGAAGGGATTGTGGTATGACCATCCCCCCTAAGGGGTGATTTCTTGTTTTCTGTCTCTGTCTGTCTGTCTGACAAGCACACACCCTAAAGCCAAAACCTCTCCAAAAAAGAAAAAATAATAATACAATAATCTTTTTCCCTAATAGTTTTGTCTTAGTAATAATTTTTTTGTGTTTCATTGTGTGTTAGCCCTGAAGAGTCTGGCCTCTTTCAGATTGCAAATGTATGGAATCTTCACGTATATGAACTTCCCCTTTTCACTGAAGCAATCAGAAATGTAGACTGCACAAGTCAGACTTTAGGGATTTTGATTTTCACCAATCACCCTGGGTATAGAATTTTACTACTGTATTTTCTATTATCGGCTATATATACCATTTCTATTATTTGACTTGCATGTAAAACTGAATAATAAGTAGTCTTCCTGATGGCTTCTCTAGATACTTTGATATTTATAACCAATCAAGAGTAGATAAACTGGATTGAAGGAGGATAGAGAAACTTAAACATGTATTTGTGCTTTCTGGTTAGATCTGCAAACTCTGGCTTAGCGTTTTCTTTTTTTTTTCTTGGAGACGTTTTTGCTATAGGGCGCATGCACTCGCCAGACAGACAGAGAGAGACATAGAGACAGAAAGCGAGAAATCACCCCCTGGGGGGATGGTCACGCCGCAGTCCCTTCTCCTCTATTCTCCTCTCAGGATCTTGGGCACACACGCACATGCGCCCGGCATGAGTTTTAAGCCACCAGGTCCGGGACGTGAACTGTGGTTGACTACGTGGGAGTCCAGCGACATAGCCATTACGCTAACTGCTGGTTCCCTGGCTTAGCGTTTTCTGTCTTTCCTGATAGATAAGGGCAGTTATGAGATACAAAGTCTTCTTTATCAGGAAAGTTTTTTCATAAAATAGAAAATGAAAAACTAGAAAAGTGTTGACAAGAAAAGTGGGTTGAAAGAACTTACATTGTTTGGCTAGAATGAATAATGTTTGTGTCTCTTTAAATATATGAAAGTTTTCCCAGATTGTGATGGATGTTTACCATAAGGGTAAATTTAAAAAAAATAAAATTACTTACATTTTTATATTGTTGACACTACTGATGTGAAAGCAGCTGACCTAGCTTGCTTGCAATTTGGGGGAATTGACTATTTACAATGAAGTATTCCAAAGTTTGTATAGAAGCTTTCTTGAGTTCGAATGAGGCCAATATGATCGTTATAGCAAAATATTACACCTCTATTTGCAGATTACATGATTATATACATAGAAAATCCAAAATAACAATAATAATAATCAAGAAAACCCTCCTGAAAGTGACAAATGAATCCAGTAAAGTAGCAGGATACAAAATCAACATACAAAAATCTATAGCATTTCTATATACCCACAATGAACAGATAGAGGTAGAATTTAAGAAAGCAATCTCATTTACAATAGTCACAACAAAAATAAGATACCTAGGAATAAACCTAACCAAAGAAGTCAAAGACCTCCATAAGGAAAACTATAAAAACTAAAAACAGAAATTGAAAATAATACAAAAAAGACATCCGATGTTTCTGGTTTGGAAGAATTATCATCATCAAAATGTCAAGTATACCTAAATTAATTTACAAATGTTGTACATTCCTAATCAGATTACCAGAGAGTCTTCAAAGAAATAGAAAAAAAAATAATAAAAATTTTCTGGAATAATAAAAGAAACCATACTACCAAAGCAATGTGATACAGAAAGAATAAAGTAGGAGGCATCTCACTCCCTGGCTCCCAAATATATTACAAAATGGTGATAATCAAAACAGCATAGGAATTGGCACTAAACAGGCATTAGTCCAATGGAACAGAATAGAGAACACAGAAATAAACCCCAAAAATAAGCCAACTGATTTTTGACAAAAGGCACAAGACAGTCCAGTAGGGAAAAGATAATCTCTTTAGCAAATGGTGCTGGGAAACCTAGATCCGCCTGCAGGAAAATGAAACTGGACCCCTAACTCGCAGCATGAACAAAAATAAACTAAAAATGGATCACATATAGGGGGCCAACAGGTGGTGTGATGGTTAAGGTGTGATTTGGGGGAATTGACTGTTTTAAATGAAGTAAATACTCCCACATGACCAACTATGGTTCGAGTCCTGGAGCTGGTGGCTTGCTTTCTCACTTTCCCTCTCTCTCTCTCTCTCTCTCTCTCTGGTCAAATTAAAATAAATGAATAAATAAATAAAATTAAATAAATAATTCTTTAAAAAATGGATCAAATATCTAAACATAAAACCTCAAACTATAAAACTAGTGGTGGAAAACATAGGAGGAAACTCTTGGAGACATTGGAGTAGACAAAGACTTCTTAAGACCCCCAAAGCACAGGTAATAATCCCAAAAATAGACAAGTGGGATTATAGGTTAAAAAGCTTCTGCACAGCAAAAGAACATAATTAGAGTGAAGAGTCAACCCTTGGAATGGAAGAATATATTTGCAAACTATGCCTCAGATAAGAAAATTCTGACTAGGTTATAAAGGGAACTCAGGCAGTTTACCTGCAAACAAATAATCCAATTAAAAGATGGGCAAATGAGCTGAACAGAATTGTTCAAGGAAGACATACGAACACCCAGAAAGCATATGAAAGAATGTTCAACATCCCTTATGCAAATTAAAACCACAGTGAAATGCCACCTAATCCCAGTCAGAATAGCTAAGATTAAAAAAAAAAATGAAGAATGATAAATGATGGTGACACTGTAGTGAAAAGGGAACTCTCTTACATTGTTGGTGGGAATGTAAATTATTGCAGCCCCTGTGATGAACAATATGGAGGTTCCTTAAAATGCTGCAATTAGAACTACCCTGTGATCCAGCAATTCCATTCCTGGGTATTCACCCAAAGGATAGGAATACAAATAGGCATTAAGAAAAACACTTGCACATCCATGTTTATTGCAGCATTATTCACAATTGCCAAGACATGGAATCAACCCAAATGTCCAAGGACAGATGAATGAATTGAAAAAGTGTGGCACATATACAGTATGGAATACTACTCAGCCATAAAAAATAACCAATGAGACCTTGGCATGTGATAGAAAGTGGATGAATATGGAAGATTTAATGCTGAATGAAGCAAGCCAGACTATGAGGCATTGTATGTCCCCACTTAATATACACTGAATGTATTCTATATACTGTGGTAGAAACTGAAAGATTATCAGGTATAAAACATGGAAAACAAATGTGGATATTAGAGACAGGGTGAGAAGAGAATAGCCAAGGGGTTTGGGTAAGAAGGAATCAAGGAAAAGAAAAGCAAAATATTAACAGACACAAAAATGGAAAACTGTCTGTATGTTAATATCTTTCACTGGACTAATATACAATGTATTCTGGGAAAATTCATTTTATGTGCTATTAAGTTGTGTTATTAAATATAAGAAAACAAAATCTTTCTTTGGAGTATATAGAAAATTATTTCAAGTTGACTAGTTTTGGTATTTAGTAGGGTATAAATACTACCTAAATAATATTATAAAATCACTTTATTTAAAAATTTTGTATTTATATTTGTGTACTTTTTATTAGTGCTTTTTGCTAATAGTAATCATAACGTATAGAACTTGCTAAGCATTTATTACAGGGTAGGGACTCTCCTAAGACTAAAAATGTATTATTTAAGCTAATTCTTAACTTAAATTTATGGTTTGATACTGTTATAGATGGTGAAAATAAACTCTTGAGAGATTATGTAATTTTGCCAAGGTCACACAATTAAGTGTGGAGCTGTTATTGAAACTCAAATGGTCTGATTGTAGAACTCACGTGGTTCACCACAACTCTGTACTGTATCTCACATACGCTATTCTTTGAAAGTTTTTCAGTAAGTATTTATTAAGCAGTTATCTATAGGAAGTATTTTGTTAAGTATTATGTAGGACAGAGATATTTTAAAAATAAATAAGTCCACAGTCTCTATTTAAAGTGTAGTCAGGGAAAAGAGGGATGTATAAAGATTCTAGTTTGTGCAGTGAAACACATGGAAGTTTCATAGATGCAACAAATAATAGAGACAGGATTTCCGAGGCAAAAATAAATCACTTTGCATGAGCTAGTCAGGTAAGGTTACATGGAATAAGCAGAAATAGCTCTTAAAAGATGGGTAGAATTTTGATAGGCGAATTTGGAGACATAGATAGATACTTCTGTGTCGAAATAATGAGCGTAGACAAAGATGCAAGAGAAAATATGGGAGAGAGTAGGTTAGTCAGGCTTTTTCTAGTGTTCTCAAGTTGTAGAGCCAGAATCCGGAATTGCTTAAGTGTTAAGATAAAGTATTTAAATTTATCTTGGTAGGCAATCAGAACTAGAAATAGTTTATCATGTGCCTATGGGAGGGAGACTACTTTTTAAAGCAGGCACTGACATTTAATCCTTGCCATGGACTGGCGAATCAAGTACAGTGTTACACCCATGTAGAATAATCTTTTGACAGATGGAGTGACTAAGACTCAGAGATAAGACCTGGAGGGTAAGTATAGCTAGCTAATGATAGTACTGGAACTAAACCTTATCTCCTGATCTTCTCCAGAGTATTTTGCTTTTCTCGGTACCTTGTTAAAATAAAACTGTTGGGATGTGGAGCTGCAGATGTCTTATCTAAATATTGGCAGAGTTTTCTATAGAAAAATCTAAGCTTAAAGTAGGTCTGAAACTCCTTTTATTACACAGCTTGGCAAAATTCAACTGGTACTTTTTTTTTTTTTTTGACCATAGGGCACTTGCACACACCAGAGAGAGGTAAAGTGAGAAATCATCCCCCCTAAGGGAGGATGGCCACACAGCAAACCCATCTCCTCCATTCTCCTCTTGGGATTTTGGGCGCACACATGCTTGTGCCTGGCATGATTTTCAAGCTGCTGGGTCCGGGACTTGAACTGTGGCTGGCCACGTGGGACTCTAGCACTTTAACCACCTGCTGGCCCCCAAATGGTACTATTTTTTAAAAAAATTAATTATTTATTTAATTCCATTTGTTTTTATGATTATTATTTTTCAACTTGACCAGATAGAGATAAAG